GACCGCCGACACAACTGCCCTGGATAACGCCCAGAGGATGTCGTCGTCGTCGTCGCTCTGACCGAGTTCTGTGACTCGATTCGGTTTACCGCGGAAAACCAAGCTGAATCGTATGAAACTTCCGGTCTATTCTTGACTAAGACGCTCCTCGACAGTAGGGTGGAACCAGATACAAAGGTGCATTTTTATCATTTAATACATTTAATGACGGACAAAGGGTACATCTTTCGTGGTAGCTTGACTCGATCATTTTACAATTAATTTTAGTCGTACCATAATCGGTACATTAAATAATTGAAAAAAGGAAAAACATCTATTATGGAGGTACACGTCGTACAATGTCTGGTTCGCGGTTATGTAAGACAGAATATCGTGGATCAAGAGTCGAGAATGAAACACGAGTCGCCTTAGCGCGGTTTTTTCTCCCGAGAAGTGTCAGGGAAGCAGGAGTGTATCGCGAAGAATCGTCCCGACTACAGGTAAGAGCATCGCGAAAATCAATAGGACCGCGTCGTCGCATACTACCGAACGATCAAAAACCGGAGCGATGAACCAGTGGATAACCGATCGATTAACGGGTGGAAAAATCGATCGATCAGCCGCGATGCTCGTCGCTGATTATCCACTTTACCTTCACTGGTAGCTAGTAATTATGACAACGGTGAACTGTTGCTGCGATCGTCGCACATGCACCTTTAATTACGACCTTTGTCGCGATAAACACGATACTCTGCGATTAAGCGATATTTGCCTCTCAGCCGAAAGCGGAAAAGCGGCGCTGCATGATCTTGAACGTCTGATCGTTGACTGAAGGGACGGGTTTGAGGACACCGCTTCGGTCGTTGGTCTTTTACGTCATATTACGTAGAGTCTTTTTATCTTGTAACGTGGACGTGTAACGTAATACGAGTTCGAGATAGAGCTTCCTCCCCTTTGCCGAGCTTCGCGGGTGCATAAATTCGCCCTCGTATATTCGTCGTTTTGTTTCGAACAATATGCGCGTGGAATTGGCTTGTATGCGTTGACGTAATTAAACGCGATTCGTCGTTGCGACAATGATGGTTAACCGAAGGCATTTAATAACGAAATATAATTAAAACATTAGTGATACAAAACTGACGCATTCGTGAACTGGCTGACGAGAAACATTGTACTACTAATTGCTGGTTACAGGGGGCTGCATAACTATATAACGTTTAAATATTGTTCCAAATTATTATATTTGTTTAGAATGTATACATATTTTAAAGATGTAGTGGTTTAGAAATTGGTGTACAAATGCAGGATGTGACGGTAAAATGTATACATAAGTAATATTGAGCATAAGAATGATAGCAAAAATATTCGACGGCTTTGATGCTGATGCAGGTCATTGTGAACGTTCAACTTACTCTTCATTCACCTTATCTAATAGTTGTATAATAATAAAGTGTGAATACATTTTATTGGCACACCCTGTATATATGTCGACTAAAATAATTTAATCGTTTCATTTCGTGCAGCAAAAGTTGTACACCTTCGACGCTCGTAGCTCCAGCCACTGTTTCTGATTTGGAACGTACATTTCCGCTGGCATGCGTTCCAATCCCGGTGATTCGGGTGATCCCCGTTCGTTCGTTCTCCTAGCTGAAAAATTAGACAGAGAAAAATTCGTCGTTTTTGTCGCCGCTTCCTCGCTTCACTATTTCGTCTCGTACTCAATCGTTTGCGCATCGAAATCGCTTCGCCGGGTTGTCGCAGAAGGAGCCGACCCACTCCCTCGCAACGTCGAAGAACCTCGTTCTTCAGCAACTGACTCCGTACGTTCTGAGAAATGATCGAGCAATTCGAGACCCACTTCGACACGTATGCAAAGTCCGTGAGTAATTGCAGCGCGCCACATTCGCTGAAAATTCATTTCGGATGATATGTAGTCTGCGACGGTAACATAAAGGTATCAGAAAATGCCACGTACGTGCATTATTCTATAAAGATAAGTTCGCAATTTACCTAAATTTGATTCGGTGCAGATATATATAATCGAGCCACGCCTCGCACATGATTCTGAGGATCATATTGGACGTCTCGGGGTCTTCGATGACCTCCAACACCGGAAGTAGCACTTTTTCTACGGAAGAACAATTTTAGAGAACAGAAATTATTCGAGTACTACGCGTGGAGAAAATTCTCGCACCAAAATATGGTTCCACGTAAAGACTGGCAGCCACTGGAGCATCGTCGCTTCCTTTTCTCCAATAACTCGATGGTGGAAAGCACATGTGCAGATTCGCCAAACTGATCACGCGACAGATTTTCGCAAGAATATCCACGCACTGAGTAGAACACTTCTGTAAAGAAAAAAAGCTGAAGATTTAAGAATTTATAACAGATTTCTCGCGGACATTCTAATAGATAGTTTATTACACACCTGAAGTAACTCTATATTGACGCTCACTTCTGACACGATTTTCGCCCTCATCTTTGCGCAAACGTATACCTGAACACTGACAGAATCCATCGATAGCGTGCTAGCATGATCAGCAAGCTGAAATCGAGATGTTCCCGTTAAAGAAACTGATACGATCGATGTTTATTGTTTTACCTTTAGATAAGACAACTCTTCCAGGCAGTTCACTATATCGCCTTTGACCAACAAGAAGAATACATCGAGTTCCCACGTGTGAGCTATGATCTTCGCTTCCTGAACAATCCACAATCTGGCAGTGTGAACCGAATGATCCAATCGGTGAAGAACGACGATCTGTTCCGACAGAGGTAACTCCATCAACGGTGCTCCGATCACCCATTCACCGCCTGCCTCGCACTCGTTACTCAATCGAACGAGCAACTGGAACAACTCGATGAACATCTGACCCGTATTGGTCCCCTGAACATTTCAACCAATCTTTTCGATAACAAGAGACTCCAGTTTATTCCTGAAAATTACCCCGATTATAAATCGAACTTGCCTCCGTAGACGAGGCTTTCGATTGACATTGAAAAGACGACGTGTAGGCTAGTCTGAAGAGATGGTCCCACTCGGTAACGGTAGCATGATAACCAAGAGCGTCGCAGAGGTTTTGCAATGCCGGTCTCACGGTCTGTGGTACTGCAATTTTATAAACAAATCGTAACAAGTTAGCCAGCACTATAGTTTCGAGTGATGCATACAAGGGGATGCGATACGTCATATTTGCGGATACTAGGTTCTTTCACATTCGAGATCAATTGGTATCTCCTCCCTTTACCTTCATCCTGAATCATAAAAGAGCTACGCTACACACAAATATATTGCATTCCCTCGTTGCGAGTATTGCTACAATGGAACCATAATTTACAATTTTACCGTGGTTCCTTTGAACAAAATGGCTCAACCAATCCTTCAGTTGCTGTGCTCCATGACTGTGACGTGTAGCAAGCGCTTCTCGAGACCACCAAAGAACAACGTGATCTAGAATTCCTGACAGTGCACCCCATGCCACTTCCTGATAATAATTTTTCACTTTCTTCATCGCGCTACCTCTCACTCTTGTCTCGCCTGATAGAAGAAATGGTTTAATCGTTCCGCGAACGTGGTACAATTGTTCGGAGATGAACTACCTTTGACGGTCTTCGTTGCATCGACACCTAACAGCTGCGGTGAAACTTGTTGCACGATATTTAACAACCGAAGAACCTGTTCGTTCTGAGTGTTGACCAGGGTCTGAATGTTTTCGATGTCCGACACTTCCAAATCGACTTTGCAAGATGAACTTTCCGTCGGTGGCGTTAAGTGTCTCGTGAGGGCCCTGCGAATTAATTAATTGTGAAAGTACGGGAAGAATAATATCATAAAAATGACAAATTCTCTGGAAGGATCTACACGATGAACTGACCGGTAGATCTCGATGCTGGAATTTTCCGAAGCATCCACGTCCGCGGACATTGCTGATGCAGGATCGGTTTTCTCATGGGGTTCGTAATTCGCCAATAGACAATCGATAAGTTCGTGGCAAGATTCCTCTGCCCTATTTTTCGCTAACGCCTAAAATTATTCCGAATTATTCTTGAACTCTAAACGCGCATACAGAATTCTTAATCTAGAAAAGAAGAATCAGTGATTACAAAACAACCTGTAGTATTCGTGTAACAGACATCTTTTTCAGAGGTTCCAACATGGATGGACAATCGTTATAGAACACGTTCGTCGATGAATCCGAAACATCGATATTCATATCCAAAATATTGTTATAAATGTTCACTAATCTGTAACCGACACATCTTATTCGAAGAATTCATTTTATGTTTCTAGATCGTTTACCTGAAAATTACTCTGAGTAATTCGTCGCTGTTACAGTCAACGATTTCGTTGATCAAATTTTTAGTAAACCTGGCAAGCGTATTCATTTTGCGTTTCAACTGCGTCAAGAAATGACACATTTTAAATTTGTATATTGGATGCGCGCTGAGAGTCACTGTACAAATTAGCTTGTATTCGTTCATCGCTTCTTCTAAGTCGTTCGCGACACCTTTGTATACCTACAGGTGAAAATACGGTATAGGATAATGAATACTAAGATGTAAGAAATTAAATTAGAAACTTTGGAATATCGGACGATTGGGATTTGCAGGGTTGAAACTTCGATATTTCTCTTTTACTTCACCATCATTTTTACAAGATATTTTGGAATGAGTTCTTTCTTTCTCCAGAGACCATTGAACGCTAATTTTACCAATTTAATTTGAACCGTTTTCGGATTAAATTGGGTTGATAATGAGAAACTAAACCGTGCACAGAACTTAGTCGCAGCAAGTTAGTTTCTCACCTCTAGATCACAAGCCTGCACGTCTGTAATGTCTTGGATGATTAAGGCTATGCATTCCACGAGCTTGCCCATTCTCTCGATAAGCGCCAACGATTCAGCTAACCATTTCTCGAGGATGACGCCAGGATATGGTAGCCACTTGAGGATGTTTGCTTTGTAATTAGTATCCATATCGCTGCAAGGCTTTTAATTTTATAATCAACATCTGAACGAACTTTTTATGCTTGACTGTTCAGAGTCGATTCTTATCGTTCGAGTTTTAAAACGATCACTTTTTGATTTCTCTGCGAAAATGACGTACGTCTACCACGTAACACTGTTATCAAAAATAACATTGAGACGCTTCGTAAATAATTGTCCACGTATACTTTTGAATAAACAATGGAATTTCAGATGAATCACGCGATGCACAGTAGGTGTAATTTGAGTAACGTTACTACGGTGACGCTTGACGCATGGCATTCACTCTTTCTACGGATAAAATAAATTCTGAAAATACTTTCAATCTCATGTTAATTTTCCTCGTAAGACAGTGATACATTATTATTCAAAATCCATAAACTTCAGAATTCTAAACTCGAAAAGTAAGTCCCAATATTAAAAGGATCTGAGGTTTAAAAATTTCGAAGTACCGAAATTCTAGCGCCTCCGAGTCCGAAAGTTGAATCATGTCAAATTCCTAGTATTAAAATTACAAAATCCTTTAAATTATTTCAAAGCCAAAAGATTTCAAAATTCCCAAATCCAAAAATTACCTCCCATACATGCTTTGGAAACCTCTGTTATTATTTGATTGTTACATAATGATACTGTGCCCAAGATATGAAACATAAAAATGTAAAAATAGGTGTCGTTTGCATTTTACGTTACGTTGGACAGACTGCGTTCTCGGTAAATCCTACATTTTTATCGTTGGAGTTTGTAATCAGTATGGCAACGTATGGCAAGCAACTACACATTTAATCACAAGCAAAATTTAAACATAAATAATGTGAATGCGTTTTATTTGGAGAGCAATATCGTTCAGCCAAAGTTCAAACTCACGAGTCAAGTCTACTCCAAAGTGATAAAGTTTATTCGTTTTAACGAAGTTTTATAGGTACGTTTAAATTTTAAATGTCAATACATCTTATGGTATTAGTGTTAATAAATTATTTTCTAACATAACCTGTGTAAATGCGATATTCTTAAACAAATGTTATAAGATAATTGTAACTAATAAAAGTTAATTATAAACGATTGTAAAACTGTGAAGCAAGTGAAGGAGTATTAAAAATCATCAAAACAATGGGTATGTACTTATTTTCAATTATAATCTGTATAGAAAACCTGTATGCAAAACATGTATTTATTTTTCTAGGTAATTCGCAAAATAAAAATGCAAAAAAAAGTTCATATAATACTTCAGTAATATCAACCAATACTCTAGCACAGCAGTGCAGTACAATAATACAACCACCTAATCTTTCAGTAAAATCTAATGTTCCAGTACAATCATCTAATAGGCCAATACAGTCATTTAATAGTCCAATACATTCATCTAATACTGCAGTACAATCATATAATGCTTCAATTATTTCATCAATTAAACCACCAGAATTATTCAAGACAGAAGAAGAATTTCTCCAAAAATGGTTATTATGGAAAAATGATTTTTTAATATATAGAAGGATAATAAATGATGGCAAGCCAAATAATATAATGTGTGGAGATCGGTTGCTAAATACAATGGGACCAATTGGACAAGCAATATTTAAAAGATTTACATTTGATTCCTTGTATGACAGAAATAATTTAAATATATTATTGAATAAATTTGACGAGTATCATACTATTGCATCAATAAGGAGACTAAATGAAGAAGATACCTTTATGTATATACATCATTTGCAGGTAAATAGAAAATTTTAACATTTATAATAGTAAAACAATAATATAAATTTTATTTTTAGTTGAAAATAGAAAGAGCAAATATTGCAAATGCAGAAGAATTAATAAGAAACAAAATATTAAAAGAGATTGATGAACATATGTTTACCAATGCTGCGAAACGAGTGTTGTCAACATTCAAATTTTCATCTGATTTTAATAATTTGACATTAAAAGAAGTTGCATTTATTTGGAAATTGTATGGTTGCACACAGTTCTGCGATCGTTGTGGGAGTAATCACAGTTCTGACAATTGCCCTGCAATGGGAAAGCAATGTATAAAATGCAATGAATTAAATCATTCACATAGAAGATGTCCATTGATTTTTATACATAATTGCATATATTGTGGAAGTTCTCATTTAAAGAAGAAATGTCCTGCTTATGACGAAATTTGTACCAAGTGCAAAAAACAAAATCATTTTTCTTGGAAATGTCTATCTACCCAAAACGCGAATTCTGCATTGCAACCAAATCAAATTTTACATTGTAAATTTTGTGGTTTGACTCATGCTGCATCTAGATCACAGTGCCCAGCAAAAGATACTTTTTGTACTCGTTGCAAAACAAGAGGGCATTTTGCTTCAAAATGTAAAGAAAATTCTTATTCTAGAAAGCATTAAAATGTAATACAAAGGTTTCAAATATATAGAATTTTTTATAGCGATCAAACTAGTTGTATGAAGTGACTAAAAATATATATATTTTTATACATAACATTTCGAATTGTTTTATATGCAAATAAATACAATAAAATATGTAACACATCTTTTGAAATAAGATCTTTAATTCACCTTTACCATGTGACTTTAAATTTAATGCATGTTATTGACTTTTTCATGCACTAAGCGTTTCTTGTTTTCTTTCATTTTATTCCATTGAAACTGTAACATGTTGTTTTGTCCACTAGTACGATAATAACTAAAGAAAAATAAAATTAAATAAAAATCTATTGAATTTGTATACTTTGAATGAATTTGTTAGTAAAATACAATTGTATATTACTTACTATCTATATTCTGAACGTGCTATTGAAATTAATTGAGTCATTAAATTCCATGTACCCTTTACATCATGAACTGGTACTAAATGTGTACTTTCTAATATAAATTCTGATTTTTCTTTCTTTAAAATTCCATATACTTTAAATGTAACATATTTTTCCTGAAATCAAAATACTTTACACAAATAATAATTGTTACAAAAATTATATTGATACAACTATTTAATTATATAATTAAAGACACATTGCATAATAATATTTCCAAATTTCTTACCCATATTGGACAATATGCATCATTTGAATTCTTAATGTATATATCATTAATATCTAAATTTTTAAAACTTATTGGGAACTGTGAATTGTTTCCTGGTGTTAACGATAAAAGTGTAGCATTTCTCTCAGACTTTGGAATAAGTTCTCCTAATGTTTGTATCGTTTTAACACCATTTTGTTCATGGTCCTCAAAAGAAACAAATGTTCGCAGGTCCTCTACTAACATAGGAATGTACGGAATATCATTAGATAATAAATTATTACGTGTCCCCAAAGAAATCCTCCAATCCTCTCGATTCATTTTTTTTTTGTTATACTAAAACAATAATTCTTGAATTCAATAATGTTTGAAATATTTCCAAAAATACAAATTACGCTGTATTATTACTATTGATACATTCGTAATATTCCATCAATTGTTTTAACAATACTGGCGTTGTGCTTTTGTTTCTGTTGAATATTTATTATTATCGCGCCTTTTCTTTAAATTAATAATATTGTAATACAATGATAGGTTATAGTTTAGATGCATCCATGGAAACAGCTGCACGATGCATTCATGACGACCACATTTCAAAGTGAAACTTTAGAACTTATTATAAAACATTGAAATTACGGAATTTTGGGATTTTGGGAGATGATAAATTACAAATGAAAAGTTACCGCTTTAAAAAATTATGTTAGCCTATGTAAATATTTGGGAAACCCTACATTTTAAAGGCTTACCAACCACAGTTACATAAGCGTGGCAACACTTTATCTCATAATTTGAAACTTCCGGCAGATAGCGCAACGATCTTTTATTAAACTGACCAATGGTTTTTCCCGTTCACATAGTACATGATTATGATAGGAATCCCCGATATATAAAAACGTCTTCATATATAAATCCACTCCTAATCACTTGTCTTTATCCGTCGCAGTTACAGACTGTTAAACAGCTGCTTTTATAATCAGGTACGTTTGAAATATAAAGATATTGTGTAGACAGCACATATATATATTTAAATCTGTTGCTTTGCAGGTTAATAATCATCTAGTTACAAAAAGTATAATTACATTTATTAATAATCTAAGTACATAAGTCATTTACGAGCGTAGAATTCAAGCGATACGTTTGAGTCAAATTTTTGAATAATGGAAGGTACCATAAAACCACCAGCTCCATTATCCAATACGGGAGATATGGCTCAAAATTGGACGAGATGGAAGAAAGATTTTTTAATATTCATGGAACTTAGCAACTACAATGATAAGTCACAAGATATAAAAGCTTATCTCTTGAGAAACTACATAGGAGAATATGGACAAAGTATTATAGAAAAGATTGTTTTTGAAAATGCAGCTGATAGGGATGATATGAATAAGTTATTAGTAAAACTTGATGGACATTTTACTCCTATAAATGAAGTTATGGCTAGATTTCTCTTTTTCAGTAGATTTAAACAACAAAAGGAATCTATTGAAGATTATATCAGTGACTTAAAAGTATGTAAATATAAAATATTGTCAAATGTTTTTCTTAAATTATATATGTGCTGAATTAAAATTTTTCTACAGAAAAAGGCAGAAATTTGTAATTTTGGAAAGTTGACAAATAGTTTAATTAGAGACCAAATAATTGCTCATATAGGTGATAAAGCACTTAGAAAAAAATTGTTTGAAGTAAAAAATCTTGATTTATCAAAGTTAGTGTTAATGTATATAGAACATTATGCTAGTATAACACAAAAATCACAAGTTCCCTCAGAAAGCACAAAACAAAATGATACAAGCCATAAATGTTGGAAATGCAATAAAAAACATCCTCCAAGAAAATGTCCTGCTTCAAATTTCAAATGTGCAAATTGTGGTGACCTCCATCACTTTACTCAATGTTGTAAAAAGAACAATCTTTCAAAGACTGAAACAACAGAAACAAAAATGTATAATGTATGTTAGTTAATATTTTATTTTTACATTTTATTACAAAGTTAAATATAAATATAAATTATATTTTTGTTTATCATTATTTCAGCCAAATAAAAACGTATATCGTAGTAATACAAATTTAAGAGCAGGAAATATTCAGGTAAGATAATAGTGATTGATACAGATATATTTTATGTTATTGAACTTATAATATTTACTTGTATAAAATTTTCTTCTAATGTAGCATGGTAACACTACAACTACTGAGGCACTGGCAAGTATAGTATCTTATTTTATGATACTTAATAAGACAGACTTAACTGAATAATTTTTTTCTTCACAGCTTCCTAGTGCACCACCACTTGTTGATTATGGCTATAAATTGTATCCCAATTTATATAATGTACACAGTAATGCAAAATAAGTATAATTTAGAATAACATTTTCATAAAAATAGAAATTAACAATAATCTTTTGTATATTATTTTTGTATAGATAAGTATGCAAAGTGATAGTATGCAGACAAAAGCAGTAACACCGGTAAGTGAATAGTTTGAATATTTGAACTTAAGTGATTAACTAAATTAATGTTTTCTACTTTTATATAGACTGTAAACGTGAATTCGCAACATGATACAACGAGTACACAAACAAAAGAACTTGAAGCAAATACCGATGTTCCGAAAAAAGATAATAAAGAAACTTGCATTCTTTCATAGAAGTACATATGCAGTATGTTATACGAGGATCTAATTTTTTATTAAAATATATGACAAATTTATTATGTTTAATAAATAGAGGGGCACATAATTGTATTAGTAAATAAACAGTAAAATGTGTAAAGAAATAGTTATGTATTGTAAATAACATTAAATAAATTTAAATTTTGACATTATTAACGTTATTACAATGATTTATAAGTTAAAATAAAAAATTATCATAAACATTAAAAAGGAAACAGATGGCACATTAAATATCCGCTACACCGTGTTTTCTGTCAATGGTAAAATTAAGAAATGAACTAAAAATATACGCATATAATTATAATATTCTATTTGTTATTAGTTAAAAATAATGATGAATTTTGTTGACGGTCTTTTTTAGAAAAATATGTTATATAACATTTCTTAAATGATACATACAACTTACTAAGTAAATAAAATAAATAAAGCACTAATCTCTTTGGTATGAGACTCACGTGATGATCGCAATAAAAAAGTGATATATATTTTATTTGATTTGATATTGTAAATTTGTTACGTATTAAATGTATTGAAAATATAGTAGTATTATTATTGATGCAATGCTTTATAACAAATTTTTATAATTTTGTAAAAATACATTCAAAATTCGTTTCAGTGTAAAATAATCTGTCATGGTGTATAATATACCCACATAATAAACGCGTTATAAAGTCACTAATGTATAACATTTTTTTACTATATATCAGATATGCAACTGATCATTCGATTATGATTCGAACTTATATAAAATTATGTTTTTATCGCTTTAAATAATTTAACATTTTACAAGTCTACAGATATCTTTTGATCAACTGGTATATAAAAATCAAATCCTTAATATATTAAATCACATCAGAGTGGTAATGCTTGAATAATGTTACTTCATGAAAAGCAAAATTATATATGTAGAATATGACCAGCGATCAAAAGCAAATTCTAAACAAGTATTTTAAGTCTAGAAATAGATTCCTAAATTGTTCGATTAATATAAGAAACAGCAACAGCAACAGTAACAATTTGTTAAAAAATGTGTTACAAAATGACATAAACATGTACTGTAAAAATCTATAGAAGTATGCCTAGAACTGTAATATTTACTCCTAAGTATATTATGCATATTTTATATACGTGTCTCATGCAGAGAGTAAAATTCTTTACGAATCAAAAAGTTCATTGCGAATAATATTCCGATTTAAATGCGCACTGTATGTTATTTGATACTTGTAAATATGAAATCCAAAATCTGTGTTTCGTAAATGAGTTTATAAAATATTTAGCAAAACATTTACGATAGAAACACACTTCTGTTTAAAAATATAAAAACTGTAAATTTTTCAAAATATGTTGACATTTTTATCACCAGTTCATTAATGGTATATATCGTCCGTTCGTTTCTCGAATGGATGGACCAAAGGCAAGTGTTATAATATTACTGTTATATAGATTATATAATATTATAATATTAGTTGAGTAACATCATAATTGAGTAAACACATTGTTCATGCTAATGACAATGTGTTAAAACGTTACCCAATTCGTTGGTGTTCCTTAACAATGGTAGATATTATTTGCTTATACAAAAAAGGTACAAAAGGGATGGTAACTTTCTAGCTTCCTATTGTTAAACGAATGTTATACATAAATATTATTAGACGTCACTCTCGGTGTACTGGCAAGACAAATGATCGTGGAATAATTTAGATCAAGTCACGGACGGATCCTGACTAAAGTTGTCTATATCCGAAGAAAGCATCAGTTTATTCAAGATATAAGAAGGCGGTTTTTTTGGTTTTGGCGGTGGTGTTGGTGGCTTCGTCTGAATGTCAAGATCGTCTGTAGGAGTTGGAAGTTTATTTTTTGACCACTGTCCTATAGACCGATTCAAATTATTTATACTGCCTGTTCCGCAATAATGAGTAGACAATTCTTCTGGCAGATTACAATAATCCGCCTCACGCGTTTTCATGGGTAAAGGTGGCGGCAGGTCATCTTCGGACGCTGTACTATCAGTAGTACCGATACTATCCCTGTTTCCCTTTCCTAAACTATTCGAATCTATTCCATTATTTATATTTCTTAAATAATGTTGAGATTGCCCGGATAAACGATTACTTATTCTTCTTTCTTTTTCTACCTCTGATCTTAAAGGACGCTTTGGTGTTAGCTGCACAAAAATTGTACCTTCTCCATTTTTTTTCTGTTGCTGATTCCACTATTACTAATCATGCTTAGAAAGCTTAAAGGTTTACCTCTTGACGGAGTTCAAATACTGGAGTGCTAGGGTAACTGGATATTAACGGAGTAACAGGAGTCGTTGTATTTTGTGGTATATCTGTTGTGGTATACCACTGACTTGTTGGTTGGTCACTTTTTGTAGATGTTGCCGAATCACTTTTTCGTGAACTTCTTCGTTTTGAATCTTTTTTCTTATATGTTCCTGGACTTGAACTTCCTAGTGCCTTTTGTAAAGATGCTGTTGATAGGATGTGTGAACGTATAGAAGCATTCCTGTGTATCATCAATATATACTATTAATATTTTATGAGAATATTTAAGCAGTTAATAATAACAGAACTAACATTGTACAAACATGTAGCTCGTTATTTACCTATTTAGTAGGACAATCGGTTGTGTTATTGAAGATATTTTATTCAGGATCAAATACGGTAGTGTAAAAAAAAATATCATGCAGATACAAAATAGCAAAAAAGAATGAAAGAAGATAATGTAGTATATACAAATATAATTTTGGTAACATATATGTACATATGTAGCTACTCAAATTAAAATCGAATAAAATAATTTTTCAAAAACAGAACCAAGTATACTTTAAATGATACAGCAAAATAATCAATGAATTAACATATAGAAATTACGATACGTATAACATAAATGTTAAGCGCAAAGGAATTCTGTACGCGTATATATATAAACATGTGTACATATACAAAAAATGCTAGGTACGAAGGAAGGATAATAGGATATTGTGTTTATCAGATCCAACAGCGATATTCCTGAAATCATACATAAATTATTCTAATATTCATTCACGAACATGGAAATAGAGGATCATAAAATTACTGAGAAAAGTTAGAAATTGATGTATGTACATTCTCCGGTTAATATGCGTATGCGACTACTGTTTCGCATACGTATCTACTTTTGTGCATACTGTCCTAATGCCTTTACCTTGATAAATTGATGTTCTGAGTACCAGATGAGGGTGTATTGTTGTTAAAATTGAATGATGCGAGCGACTTGAATGTTGCAACTTGGGATCTCGTAAGGGAGGATACCCTGGAGTGAGTTCCACAGCTGAACGAGATAATTATAAAGTAGTCACATATAATAAAAAATACTGCAGTATTTATCTACACCTTTTCGTTTCTTTTTTGAAAAAATACCTATTCCAATATTTATAAATGGATCTCATTTTTACATGCATACCGATATTCACATTATGCAAAGTATAAGTGTTTGATGATTTAGGGACATAGATATAGGGATATAAGGATCAAGGAGTTCAGGAATTTAAGGATATAATGATATAGGAATATGGCACACACATATTTTACTTTTATGACACAAATAGTATTTAAAAGTAAACACATGTATAATCCAAAACCAATGATAATGATCATGATAAGATGGATGATAATAATGTTAGAACAAATAGTAGCAATATTTGCAGCGAATAGTGTTTATATACAAGGATTAGTACTTACTCTGAATTCGTCATATTTGACTCGGATAAGCGATGATTATCACCCCTCGCAGCTTGTGTTCTTCGCATAGTTACAGTGTGAGTTAGAGTCTCAATTTGTAAATCGCATGTCTGCAGGCAATATATATGCAACAATTAATTTCTATCCAACAAATATTGTACTCATCATTGTGTTAAGTTACCCTTTTTCCATATTTGGCTTCCACATGATTTCTCAATGATGCAAAACACTGTTCCAAACGTTGATGAAACGGAGTCAAATCTGGAGGAGCGCGTGCCTTGTGTAGCTGAACACCGATACTCAACAACGGAATTTGCTCAGCAATCAATCCTTCTAGCTTCAGTAGATCAGAACTCTCTTCGGTATGAGCACTTCGATATTCAGGATTGAGAAACGCTTTTTCATAATTATCGATACCGCCCATCACAGCAGGATCTAGTATACCATTAAGTTTCATACTAAGTGGATTTAATGGAAGACTGTTATCAGCTTTGTGCGATATAATAAGATCTCTTAATGCAGTATTCGTAGCTTCCATGGTTTCGATCGCGTTACGAAGAGGACTGACTAAGTAAGTTTCGCTGGATGTGACAGGAAAGCATCTGAGAATGCCTGGCAAAGGATGACTCGTGACAAGCACTGTTCTCTCTAGCCATAATGAAGCAAATTCATTATTGTTAATGGCATTTGTTTCTTTTTCTTTGTTAGCAGAATTTGCTATAGCTTGACTTATGTCTTTCTTTGGTGCCGGTCTTGAGAATCGGAAACGCTGAACATCATTCACTCGATGATACCTTAAATTTAATTGTAAGAAGAAACTTCAAGTTTTATTATAGTAATTTGTTACAAATATTGTACCACATTTTTACCTTAATACTGCTTCTGCTGTTACAGGCTTCCCACTGAATCGGTGTCTCTTCTCGTCCATTAGTGGATCCACCTTATTAATTTGAACATATTGGTGATTGGATTCTAATATTTCCGGAGTAGGAGGAGACAACTTGTTCATTTGCTCTGCATTTGGTAATTGGTTTAACGTCCGCGAACAAAAATCGCTAAGACGTTCGTATTCTTTTCCGCGATAAATAAATATCTATAAAAAAAATAAATATTTTATTATTTATATTATTTATCTAAATAATCAGTTGCAGTATATATTAATTTCAGTACCTTATTTTGTAAGAACGCTGGATGTCCTCGACCGTAATATGCAACTCGAAAATATTCAGGTTCAGGTCTCAATTGCTTCACGATAGAATCATAAAATTTAGCCATGCGTCTCAATAATACCGAAAGTTGTAAATAATCAAAAGTTTCTTCCTCATATTGAGCAACCAATTCTTTGCAGACTGCAAGTGCACATTCCCACATTTTACCCTTGTCAAAATATTCGATCATATCATTGTACAATGCTTCTTTTAACTCACGATGGGTTTGACACGATAAATACCTAAATAAAAAACTGTTACACTTCCAAAATGACAATTGTTTCTCAAAACATAAAACTATTTATAACAAATACCTATGTGATCTTAAAAGTGGTGGCAGTGGTTGATCGCTCCAGGCTAATAATTGACTGTGCAATTTTAAGGAGTATGCTGCTTCCGTGTAATTGTCACATTCTAAATGTAACTCGCATAATTTGTTCACATATCTATAGAATAAATATTTGGATGATGTTTAAATTCTACATAGTGTCCCATAATTTTAGGGTGCTACTCAAAGCATGAAAAAATGCTGATTATATACGCACCTGATATACATTTCTTTTCTGTTTATCTCAGAATAAAATTCTAGTAAGTTTACGATACATAACATTCTATGTTCCTGGGATTCAGCATGAATAATATCGCGATATTGTAATAAACGTTCCATGAGTTTAGCTACTGTATCAACAAAACGTAATCCTTGTTCTCGCATAGTTGAGTGCTTTTCACAAAGATTACCCATTACTTGAATCCAAAGTAAACGAAACTGTTCGTCTCCCCTTCCTCCCTCAACCAAAATATCCAATTTTGCAATCATTTCGTTTTCATACTCTATAAAATTAGCTTTTATGTGAGCAGGATCCCTCTTTGTATCGCCGTACCCCTCAGTGATACGTGAACTGTAAAATTCGCATTGCATCATGTCAAAAAATATAGGTATGGTTGCTTTCCTTAATTCGCTTTCTGGAATTAATGCCATCTCTAATATTGCTCCAACCAAAGATGGAACAAACAATATTTTATGTTGTCCCAAATTAAACCACATTGATCGTATTTCAAATGCTGTTTCTCTATTAAAAAAAGAACACAAAATTTAATGACATCTGTACTGTGGATGTCTTCTTTTATATAACTTCATATAAATTTATACCTGCGCATATCATTGTAACGTGAAACAATACGATTACGTTTTGATGGTGTAAACGTCTCTAATTGCAACGCTGGTTGGGTCAAAAATGCAATTGCACAATGAAAGAAATTAGACCACGCCTGCTGTTCAAATTCAGTGAAGTAATAATCTCTGATAGTACCCGAGAAGTAACGTAACGATTTTAAAATAATACTATTTTGAAGCATAATCATTTCACACCAATCCCCTGGAAATACGCTCTTAGACACAAGATCTTTGAACACTAGCAATATTTCCATGAGGAAATCAAGTAAATCGAATGTAGTACGAAAATGATTTATATAAGTTTCATAGTGATGTTGCGTCATTTGTCTGAAATGTACACGATATTAAATATAATTTCTTTCTCAATATTCCAGACTTTTTATACTTGTCTTTTACCTGAATATTGCTAACATAACTGAAACCAAATTTCCTACTAGTGGATTTTCCCTGTCCATCGATATAACAGTTTGTATAATAGTGCGTAAGGCTGTAAGCATAATTTCTTTTACATCCTGCACTGTATTTCCTATATCCTTCCTAAACGTTAATTCCAAGATGTCAGATAATATCTTGACGCACAATTCTACCTACACGGACATAAAATAGAAACATGTTTCTTATTATAAGAATCTTTAAAAACATAATAGTAAAAAAAGAATTGAATAACATAGCAATTAATACCATTCCTGGAAATTTAATGTAAAATATTTATCACAAATGATCAATACATCACATGTTAATCGCCATATCAATCCAAAATCAACTTGCAAGTGTAGTCTTGTTACATGACCGTGGACGGACCTCCACGCATGAGAAATCAAGCGTTGTATAAGTGGAGTACTATTCATATGACTCTTTTCATAATTTTTTCGTTCCCGTAGTCACGTCCAGGGCCATGTACAGAGACTCCACTATAATGCATTCAAATTCTCCATGTGTGGTTCAACAATTACCTCTTCGGAGTAGCCGCGGTGTTGGTTGAGTCGATGCCGATTTTCGCCGAGCAGCCTGGCTACCTTCGCCACGCTTTTTCCAGGCGTACTTGACAGCCCCTTTATAGGCCAATAACCAAAACCAAACCAAACACAAAAATGAAACAGCCCTATGTTAGTTAGAATATAACGCCGATTTATGCATATAAATAAAGTTATGTTCCTTAATATTGCCCATCACCCAAGACAAATCATGTTTTAAAACTGCATGCAAAAGGGATGCAGTGCTTGAAGCAATAGAACAGTACTTGTAAAAGGGCAGCAACACTACATTAAATACGAAAACTTTTACAGAAGAAGGCCCTTCAAGAAATGGTTGAAAATTTATTTCAATGATACATGTCCTTGTATAGATTGATCAGAGATAAAGTGAAGAGTCAGACACATGAATAATGATTTATATTTTATGGATTTATTTAGATAAGTTATATGTATCAATTTAAACATGCTATATCAGAGAATAACAATGCAATTTAATTATCATGCTGTAATCAAACTTTACAGAGGATGTCTTTTATTTCATAAAAGAGTGTATATAGATTCTATTATACTGATTACTATTTAATTAAATAAACAATGAATAATGTAATTGAAATCAATTGGAAGTACTACAAAATAAAGACACCCTATTTAAGGAATAAATGCCAAATTGATGAGATTCACAGAAAAGTGCGTGGCGGAAGGATGTCAGGCTGCACGGAAAGCACAAATAATGACACTATTCGTAAGTTCATGTGAGAGAGTTTTAAATGCGAACGAAAAGCTCCGCTCACATTTTGACTATAACAATCATGATAGAAATGATACATGAAATTTGCAGCGCCCTAAATGTATAAGACGTACACGGTGTTCCCAAGCTTTGCTATGCTATGTTAACATTAACATGAACGAAGCTTTGATAAAAATGTATCAAATCACTCAAGAAAGATTTTCATATTTGAATTACGAGCAACAGCTTTAAGTACTTCTATTTTCTTTCACATAAGATCTTAAACGATAATCATTATATTTTATAACGTGGCGTATCTTACCTCTTCTTTAGCTTCTAATAAATCTCGAACCAAAATAGTGATTCTAGGTAACAGAATTGCCCTGCATTCTGCGTTTAGAAAAAGAGGACTATGAACAATATCGTTTACAGTCATCATCTTTTGTTTGGTCAATCTTCCTGATGGCAAAGTAACTAATAAGTCAGTTAAAATTACGCTCAATTGTTTGCCGCTATAGACACGCAATAGATGAGGTATAGTAGTTGGTAAATATTTAAGGCATGCTCCTTGGACCAATAAGGTACTATCTGTTTCGTGTCTCATAAGTTCAACGATAGATTTTAATAACTCTGTCAGTGTCTGAGAAAATTCTTCCTCATCTTGGTTTAATCTATTGTGAAATAAATATTAAAGGGATACAGATGTGATTATCGAAATTAATATAACAAAATTAAAACATACATACTCGGTGAATAGAAGACGAGATTCTACAACAAATCTCATACAATACTGAAGACTTTTCATTGTTTTAAGAAGTATATCACGCTCCTGCCCATCGTTATTAGTTGCATTATCTATGCGTTTACGTAATACTGCTATTAATTTTTTATATGCTAGTGTAGCAGAGAAACTCTCAGAGATATATAAATCCAATACTGGTTGAAAATGTTGATATTTTCTATCAGACACCAAACCAATAATATATAACAAACATTCAAATACCATATCGTCATAAACATCGCTGTCTGAATTACTCATTAGTATGTTAAACAAAGCGTCTAAAACATCCTAAAAAAATGTTAATAGTAAATTAATACCTATTAATTATTTCATTTATTTCATAAGAATATCAATGTAAAAAATGTGCAAACCTGTAAAAATTTGACTACTTCTTCCCCATCAACCTTCATCAAGGCAGCTAAGGATTCTTTTAAGTCGGTGTTATGTGATGCCCAGTTTAACAAACCTAACAAATCTACATTTTGCGTTAGTTTTGTTGAACAAATATTAGTTGCTATCAAAAAACTATCTTTACTACTTAAAGCAAAGGATCCCAATGTAGGTTTTTTCTCAGCATTTAGTTCAACCTAAACAGAATGGATTATTAGTCCTAGAAAATGTCTAAATTTTATAAATAACAATAATATAATTTTTATATTGATTTACCAATTCACCCCTTGTTGATGGCAGTTTTAAGTATGAAATATCAGATTCTTCATACTTCTTTTGATCTAACTTATAAACTAATAATTCATGCTGTATATCTTGCAATGTTGTTCCATTACGTTGCATTAATTTTACATAACTCAAAGCAAAAGGTCTCTCAGATTTGTCCTTTGCTTCGTTTGAACTGCGATGCTTAAACGTGAACTTCAAATGAGCTTGTTTAAATTCTTCAATAGGTACAGCAATTTTAAAGGTTTCACACCACCTAGGTTTGTCTTCATGATAATAAATAACACTACGATATTCGTCAATGGGGGAAGCTCCACCACCCAATGTCATAACTCCTGGTATTGGTACACCACTCTCATTGCATACTTTAACCTATGAAGAAACAAAATAATGGCGTATGTCCAAACATTTTAATAATTTTAAAAATACTAACCGTAACTTCGACATTTTTGTCTGTAGACTTTGATCCTTTATTAAATTCACCACTAATTAATGTGAGATATAAGTCATTTCTCACATCACCTGGTAAAATAACTTCTGGAAATCCCATTTTTCTTGCAATAGCAACATTACCAAGTACTAAATGCGGATTTTCATCGCGTACCTAAATATTAATTATTTATAAATATCATGAAATGCATTTTTAACTACTGATTGTAAAATTAAAATTTACTTGTTTTGGATCACCCCTAAGCAATTTCAAGCTAGCCCATAATCCCTGACCACCTGCAAAACTGCCACTATTACCATTATTGCTCTTTTGAATATTTGTTTCTTTTTGTGAAAGAATTCTACGTAATGTGCCATCTAAGCTTTCTTTCTCACAACATCTGAAACGATATTAAAAACACCAACAAAACAAATTCTACTTAGCTGTATTCATAAGTTTCCTATGAACACAATCATAACACAGACTAAAATAAAAGCTTACACTTACTGTACAAATGGAATGAAATGATGGTGATCTGAGTCACCTTCGAGTTTACCAGTAATGTATAAAGTGATATCCATTGCTGCTACACCAAATGGTCTCCTCATATTTTCACTGTTTTTAGTTTTCTGATTCGTCTGTGCAACACTTGAACGTCGGTGATCAACATCTTTAGCCTCCATACCTCCTATCCTAATTACATAACAAGCTAAATAAACTTTATCCCTGGCTAAATCTCTGGAGCCAAGGTCTGTAAACAAAACACGAAGATTGTGAAGTTGATCTATATCTCTGGCAAGCCCCTCCTTACTCCATGATACCACATAATTTTCAGTAATTGCCTTCATTTCACGACCATCATATAAAGTTAATAATAATTCTACATCTTCAGCCATTTTACATACAAAATTTCTCACGCTAACAAAAAATATATGCGAATATACAGGTGCTTGTGGTTTTGAAGGTTTTTTTTTAGTATCATTAGCTGCCTTTCTTATTCTTTCTGCAGCTGTTTCATGGTGATAATATAATTGAATTGTACTTGTCTCTTCAGGATTAAGAACATTTCCATGATCATCACGAACAACCATGTCCATTCCCAATAACTGATTACCAGTATCAATTTTAGCTGTTGCTAATCTTTTCATATGTTTCAATTCATCCACGGTCAATGTGCCACTTAAAATTTTGCTTCTGTATCCTACTAATTCTAAAATTTGTTGCTGCATTGTTCTGAAGTGTTCCGAATGAATCTATATGCAAGGAGATTATATCAATTTTTTAGTCATTGAATGTGATTTTATGAAAGCTTGATGATACTGACCACATATAAATGTTTCCAATGATGTCCCCATTCTCGCAAGACACTTGTAATTTCATGTATTAAACAATCCATATTAGCTGACTGTGGTTGAATATGTATATAAGATTTTGGAAAGATTCCACATGTTCCTCTAAGTTTATTGCGTCCATAATACCAATCTCCACACTCTTCTAATATGTATACTACTTCTCCGACATTTAATCTTAATGCATTAGGAGTTCCATGTACGAAGTTGTGAATAGCTGTGTAATACAAAATAATTATATAGAGCAGAAACAGAAATGAAAAGAATAAACGTTTCAGTATTAGTTAATTATTACAATATCATATCAAATAAGAAATGGCAATTACTGTATAAATGATGTCATGAAAAAACTATAAATTATTTTAACAATACCCATAAATTAATTAAATACATCTAAATAAAATAGTAATGATGAACGCATGTAAGATTTTGTAATATTAAAAAAGAAATAGAACAATTATTGCACATTGATATTTCGCGCGCAAAAGAAGAACTAAGACCTAAAATATTATCTTGTTGGGGCACCTCCCAGGATGTTAAGCTTTATAAAGGCTAAATTAATAACCTTCAATAAATTATTCCTTACCAACTCCTAAATGTTCTTTGACCGGCTTCCATGCCATTGGCATTTTAATTGAAGATTTATTATAACAATATATGTACACTAATTACATTTCGATTCGCCCGTTTGTTGTGCGAGCAAAATACGACCCTTTCAGCTTGACATTTAACTGTAATACGCAACCATACGCAACAGGATTGTCAGCTTCAAGTTCCGTCAGATATCGCTGTTGTCGCAACTGCAAGCATAGAAATATTATACCTAGATTGTGCGTTCAACCAAAAGACTGAAAATGTTAGATAAAGATAACATGCTTTGGTTTATCGTTCCATCTTCGTCTAGTAGTGTTTAAAGTGCCTATTTATTCATCCCTTTACTTCCTTGTTTCACACGCAATTTAACGATCCCTTCTTGTTTGCTTCTACACATTGGTAGAGAGAGACAAACTGATGAACATGCAGAGGTTTTCTCCATCTAGTACTTGTTATGTCTGACTACTGGAAATAAACATACATGTGCTCATCATCTCCTATGAAACCGATAAGCAAGAATATCATTTATCATTCGAGATGGATACTATACTCTTAGTTAATCCATAAATTAAATTGCAGGTTCATATATTCTGGCATAGCAGTTCTAACTCTGCAACTAAGTGCACTCTTGTTTGAACGGTTCAGCACAGAATATGTACTAATAGGTGGTAGGGAATGAAATGCTTTTTTTGATACCGTGACGGGAACTTCCTTCTCTTAGTTGCCACTTCTTCTAGGGAAACCAAATCTACACAAATGTGTATAATGTGTACCTATTCATTGTCATTGTACACACACAATGAAACATCGGATCAGTAATACTAGTGGCTACAGGTATATCAAGACTAATCATGCCTTTGTTTTCGAGGGCATATAAATCTGTGGGTCAGAAGCGAGTCATCTGCTTTATCTTCGTATAAAATTATAAAACACTTCTGGAGTGGCTGCCAACCACAGATTATGTTTTATAAGCAATTCAGTATTTTCTACCATCCTATGGGAAAAAGAAGACAAATCGTATCGGACGTAAGTAAGAAGATAAACGGGTAAAACAGATAGAGTTGTCGATATTGCTGCTTTCTACTACTTATTTGAGGTCCTCGGATCACAAATTCGTGTGCTCTCGAAAATAAAGGCATGCTTAATCTTGTTACATCTCTAGTCAATGCTTCTGCTAAACGAAATGAGAAAGTTGTTAAGTAGTTCGGAAAGATTCGTAATACGGAACGTAAATTAATATTGTGCAGAAAAACTGGTTATAGATTTTATACCTACACAAATGTATCATGTTTATCGTCACAGTGATGTATGCATGTATATGTGAGTATATTAAATCTGTTTTCCAGATAATACGTACATAACTACTGTAGCAAACGTGACATTCGTTGGAGCGCAGACAGCGTGGACAGTGTGTATTAATTCGTCAACGAAGCAATAGGAGGAAATGAGTGTGAATAAAGACTTGCAATATGAAAGAAGAAGATGCACTTTCAATCCTACCGAGTTGACTCATTTCTGGGATGGCAGTCAGCTGAAAACGGAACAACGTCATGAACGGGGTATATAGCTATTTAAACATTTTTCATGTTTTCTAATAACAAGAATTTGCGAGCAAATGACACTTTCGTTTAAAAGACTAATTGAGTTTAGAAAAATCTTGAGGAGATATTTTAAGTGTTTTTGAAAAAATTTGTAGAGATATGTCAATACTACATTATTGACTGCAAATTACAAGACTATACATATTTTTTTCTTGAGAGGACATGATCTGTGACTCTCCTACTTAGGATAAAATTATGAAGCACTTTGCACTGCAGCTGTTTAACACATTTTATGGATAGCAATAAATTTCTTTGATATTAAGTATAACATGATTTGAATTGACAAAGTAATTATGTGCACTGTATTATCATAGAATGTGATATGTATATGTATGAGTTAAACTCGTTTTAGATACAATATTTTGTAATTAAAATTCAAAGTTTAATGTGCCAAGATCCATATGTAATCGAATATTAACACTTTTCCCAATAATGATGTTACTAAAATAGTCACAACCCTTGTTATGGAACCTGAGGAAGTAATATGTTTGGTCAGTAGTTTTAAACCCATCATGACTTGCTTTTCTTTAATATTAATATTTTTTTATTCTGACTGTATGAAAGTGAACACTAGTTGTTCAGAAACATTTTATAGACAATTTTTGTTAGGATAGTTAAAAAGGGAGGTACATTCTAAACACGTATTTATGGTGAAAGATGAACGGGTAAAACAGATAAAACAGTCGATATTGCTGCTCTCTACTATCTTTCACTCTGGGGTCTTTAGAGATTACAAATATCTGTAGTCACCGCTATATTTTTAGTATTTCCGAATTATCAATAAATATTTACTTTACACTTCCAAATTTCAAAGTTCACATATTTCGTAAGTAAGATCGGAATTATTTACCATATTTTTGCAGACATGTCATTAATAAGACATTGTTATACTCTGTAACAAAACTGAACATCTGTAATTTTTTATTTGGCGCGGATTACTATGCAAAAAATTAATTATGTAAATAGAAATGCATTACAAGTGCAAAAAAAGACAAGTAATGTGTTTTCGTTTATCTTTTCGTAATTAGTTATTAGCGTCTTTAAATGTTTTTGATAATCAGTTACGTGACTTTGCTATTTTTTATTTTTGCCAAATTATTAAGAATTGCAAATTACTAACATGTGTAAGTCAATAAAGATGTTTTTGAGAGTTAATTTATGCTTTAATCCTGGAATTTGTATCTTTTCGTTTCTCCTTTACACTTAATTGGTATCCAAGTCCGACGGAAATTTCTTATCCTTGCGTCTTCCACTTCCGCTGACATCTACTTCGCACGAATCGTGTTTTCTATATACTTGAAAATCTGAGTTAGTCAAAAAATATCTTCTTTACATGAAACATTGTCTTAGTTAAAAACAAACACTTAATATTTTCCACATCATAGCCTATTTTTGGCATTCATTCTCTTCATTCAAACATCATCAACATCCTCTAACATTCCTACGTCCTCAAACGATCGCAGCATTCGTCGAATGTATGCACATTTTTATTACTGCCAATAAAAATACTTTATGATGTGAACCGAATAAAATATATTATAATAAATTTAAATATTGTAATGAATATACACGTGTTTCGACAAATTGACCATTGGACTGCGCTAGCCGCTGACAGTATGAATTGAATGAATCACAATTTTTTTTCTGTTAAATTTTTGTATTTAACTTTGACACTTTCCTCTCAGGCTTTTTGTATTTTAAGAACGAATTGCGTATTTACTTCTCCTTTTTAATGTGCCGAATATGAATATTGCATTCATGTTTGACGGAAATAATAAAAGCGCATTAAAAGTTCAAAAGGAGTTAATTTCGGTGATTGCCAAACTATGTAACAATAATCAATACTGTATTTAGCATTTCAAAACGAGTAACATGACGTATCAAAGACTGAGAGAGTAAGTTAAAATTTTTACATTTCAGAACAATTTTTCTTAAACGATCCAGAGCTAGTTGATAAAGTACCAATAAAATATAAGAGCCATAAAGAAGTATACGAAGATGCAATACGAAAATCCTGTAGAGTATTGCAGAAAATACGAGAGTTACAGGAGATGGGAAAAGGTGGCATCGATATGTTTTCGTAAGTTTTCGAACGGTACAAGTTTTATTTTTACATTAGTTTCTGTTTTATACTTTGTACCCTTTTCAGACATGTTCTGGGTGCCATGATTGGATCTGGAATAATAAGGGAAGGAAATCCGCTAGTGTTACATTATGTCATGTTCATTCCTGCTATTATGGGGCAGGGAACCATAAAGCAGCAAGTACATTGGCTATCCAAATCTTGGGGTGGCAGCATTATTGGGACATATGCTCAAGTATAAAGATTTAAAAATAATCAAATAACTACAGTAAACTTAAATATTGATGTCTCGTATTTTAGACTGAATTGGGTCACGGAACGTTTATCCGTGGTTTAGAAACTACAGCCACATACGACCCACAGACACAAGAATTTATCTTGAACAGTCCTACTTTAACATCGTACAAATGGTGGCCAGGTGGATGTAAGTATTCCTCTAATGAAGTGAGAAATAGCGATCTTGTTAATGAAATAATAAAATTCTTATTTATATTAATTTCTAGTGGGTCACACCGCAAATCATGCCATCGTCGTAGCACAATTATACATCAAAGGAGACTGCAAAGGCGTACACGCTTTCGTTGTTCAGTTGAGAGACGAAAATACACACGAACCTTTACCAGGTATGTGACTAACTGTTGATCTACGAGAAAATGGAACTAATTTATTAAATTTTTACAATTCTCAGGTATTAAAATTGGAGAAATTGGAACGAAATTAGGGATGAATGCAACTAACAACGGTTTCCTCGGATTCGACAACGTTAGGATACCGCGGGAACATATGCTAATGAAAAATTGCCAGGTAAGAAAAATAGTATACTTAGTTCAACCATATTTCCTGACAAGCCCTGTGTCAAATAATTTATGTTTTTAAGGTACTGGAAGATGGAACATATGTCAAATCACTGAACGATAAATTAACCTACGGTACAATGGTATTTGTTCGAGTAGTGTTAGTGCATGATATCGTACACTATTTATTAAAAGCTGTTGTAATTGCGACTAGATACAGCGCGGTGAGACGTCAAGGACAAATCAATGCAGAGTGAGGAAACTTTCGAATGATGAAATTCTCAAATTAGGTCCAGGAAAAAATATCTGGAATTCGTATATTCCTAATTACGTTCGTTTTTCAGTAAGCCTGAAGTACAGATCATCGATTATGTAACGCAACAATACAAAATTTTCCCACATCTTGCTGCATGTTTTGCATATCGAATGTCCGCAGATGCAATTTGGAATATGTACAATGTCGTTACCGGCGAATTGGATAAGGGTGACATGAACAAATTACCTGAGGTATTTAAATCACACCTTCTCCAATTATTAACTATTTATCCTTTCCTGTAATTTTTCTTTTGTAAAAATGTATTTTCTTTTGTAGTTGCATGCTTTAGCATGTTGTATAAAAGCAGTTGCATCCGCAGATGCAGCTAACGGAGTAGAACAACTACGGTTGGCTTGTGGTGGACACGGATACATGGATGCTAGTAACCTGCCGAATCTTTACGGTTTGGTAACTGCTATTTGTACATACGAAGGAGAGAATACTGTCTTGCTATTGCAGACGGCTAGATATTTGGTGAAAGTTTGGAAACAAGCTTGTAGCGGTCAGTCACTACCGGAATCTATGCAGTACCTTACAGCTTATACAAAAGGAATTAAGCAAGCCCCATGGAAGAATACTCTGCAATGCATTGTAACAGCCTATCAAGCTGTAGTTGCAGGGTAATTTTTCTTAAGCGTCTGAGAAACGAATGTTAATGTGTATAGAGTGCAAATAAAAAATATTTTTCATTCGTAGGAAAATTCGTTCGGCAGCAGAAAATATACATTTGAGAATCAGTAAAGGAGTACATTTAGAAGATGCTTGGAATCAAACCGGTATTGAATTAGCGCAATGTGCGGATGCTTACTGTCGAGCATTCGTTGTGGAGAAGTTTATAGAAGGGGTACAGAAAACTGTCGTATCAAAAAAGTTGCATCTGGTATTGTCTCAACTGTGTGAGCTATATGCCGTGTATTGGATTTTACAAAAACGGGGTGACTTCCTTCAGGTGAGTTACTAATATATATTTGCGACATTTAAAAATTCGACATGTTTTAAATAAGTGATACTATTAACCAAACAAAATTTTTTTTCAGTTTTCTTCTCTGAAAAATGAAAACATCCCACAACTTCAGTCGCGCCTCGAAGAACTGTTAGCGGCAATTCGTCCGAATGCCATAGGCATCGTTGATGGGTTCGATGTTCGCGATGAACTTCTTAATTCGGCGCTGGGAGCTTACGATGGTGATGTATACACACGTTTATTCGCAGAAGCTATGAAGAGTCCTTTGAATCAACAAAGTGTGAACGAATCATTTGAAAAATATTTAAAACCATTCCTTAAAAGCAACTTGTAGTGCAATGGTCTTAAAGAACGTACAAGTACATGATACAAGTCTTACTTGTATGTGATAATTCGGTCGTTTAAAAAGTCTTATATTTTATCGTTATCGATTGATATCTGTTATCGTGATTAGAATGCCAATAACTCTTCCCGAAAATCTTGTTTATGTAGGTATAAATGATATTATCTTTAAGGAGGTAAAAAATGGTGACTCGTATTTATTGATATTAATAAAATGAATTTCTTCGTTATAGACGAAGCTCTGTTTTTTAAATGACAGAAAGTTTTTTATTAAATATTGTAGGATTTATGAGATATACTAATTGTAGCAAATTGAGGGTGCAATCAATAGTAAACTGAAAATAGTTTACAATATTTTTTTACAACCTTTATAGAATATCATTGTAAATATTTAAAACAATGAAGTATTTATTGTAACAGGTGCTGAATGATAGGGGTTTGTTTTTAAAAAAGATTTTTAAGAATGTTTGATCATTCCATACGAAGAATTATTATAAGTATGTTATAAAGAAATACATATATATATTTTTCTATGTACTTTTGTAACGAATAAAGTGATTACAGAAACACATAAGTATGTTTGTATGTTTCTCGACGCTTCGAAGAAAAATTACCATCGTCAGATTAACTTCTCTTGTACTGTAGTATTTATTTACAGAATAGGAGTGATGACATACAGTATTGTTCTTTATAACATAGTTCAATTCAAACCTTAGTCATATAGTGCAGAACGACAATTTTGAATTTTGATCGATTCGCATAGGTCCTAGGAACTTTGAGCATCGATCAACCTTGGGTATTCTAATTACACATCTTATACAAGAAAGGAAAGTGATTAAAATTAGCGATGTGCGGATACCCGGTATATAGGATGATTAATAAATCCCTACTTAAAATAAATGTAACGAGTTATTGTTCTTGGGCGGATAATTATTTTCTCGTTTATATATTACACATACATGTATATATTTTTATATATGCACATAACAATTCTGTATATATATATATATACATATACATATATGTGCAGCATATATTTTACACGATAAAGCTTGTAAATGAGAAGGGAAGGGTAGACAATAATTACACTTAAAAAATAACATTGTTAATTACCGTTATCATTAAATATTAATTGTATTCACTTTTAAAATTATTATTCATTCGTCCACCTGGTCTAATAGGTTTTCGTCTAGTGTTAGACAGACTTCGCATTGCTATAGTACTCTTACGGAATTACATCCTCTTATAAAATATGATTTTATTACAATTAGTATTTGTTTTTATTTTTTTTCTTGTCGCATAGAACGTAGACAGCGCATTTCGAGTATTAAATGAGCCACGTGGAGATGCAGCGTACACTGATAGTTCCTTTTCTTTATTTTACCTCTTTCACATTTATCGCTTTTATACCAACGAAAGCGTGTTCGAAATAATTAATAAAAACAATAATTAATCTTTTCGAGACAATAAAGAAGAGAATCTCGCGTCACTCCGCATCGCCACGCGGGAAATTAATTACTATCTAACAAATAATCTTTCGTCTATGTTGCATACGATTATTATTACAATAAAGATTATGATTCAATCTCCGGGTTCCTTCGAAGGAATGAGGGGTAAATTAAAAAATAACAGAATCGATTTTAAAAGGTTAAATAACACGGAAGAAATAAATTTATGGAACTGTGAAGTTTTAGAGTTTCTGAGTTAAAGGCAAAGCATAAAATTGTGGCTACTGCACAAACGTTGTGTCGTCAACTTTATGTGAAACAGACAAAGCAATTGACTTAGTTTTTATTTTAACCGAATCCTCTTAAGGTTCGCCATCAGTACTTTTATAATAATTTATTTTAAAATATATAAAATAAAAAATTACGAGCTCATATGAGAAATTGACGATGACGAATATTAAACATATCTTTCAGATACAATCTTCCTGATACTTTTTAGATAACTTTGATCATTTGCTAGATAATATTTATTTACGATTTTGTTCCTCGTACAATCTTTGCATACAGTAAGTTGTTTCATTTTTTTTTCAAATCAGTATGCTTATTTTTATGTCATTATCATAATCCTGATAATGTTCCTATTTTCCTAAATACTTTATAAACAAACTTCTTATAATAATCCAATGCTATCTTGTTAATTGATAAGGTTGATTTTGATGCAGCATGTCATTATCAAAATGTATCGACTGATAATTTGTCCGTTTCTCGGAATTCTTCATATCTGGTAATGTACATTTGGGTGCAACTTAAATTTTTCAGATTAAAGAAACGATAGGGTAAAAGTTATCTTATTGTTTGCTTTTGATTTTGGGATACCCTTGAAAATTTCCTGGGATATTGATATAAAGAGAGAGACCAAGGTAGACCTGACTACCTAAAATATGACATAAGGACGTAGAAGACTACTTTGCACTCAAATGTACATCAACGAGGTGATTTCTGTTAAAATAATTTTCAACAAACGTAAGAATGTAGTCCATAAAAATTCCAAGAATAATAAGAACACGTTGATTAAATTTAAACGCTTTGCCCATAACGTTAGAACGATCGTTTTTAAATGCAGAAGATGGGCAAACATACAATATAAAGTTTAGAATAATAATTAACAAATTGGAACGATAACTTTCATACACAATTGATGTCCCTTATGTATGCAGTTAGTGTATGGCAGTATTCACATGATATTTTTAGTTTACCCCAACGTATTAAAATCATATAAAAATGGCGCTTCTGTTCCTCCAGCCCAGGTAGAAACATTTACATCCATCTTGATTGTATTATTATATTAGTCTTGAAAAATAAATAGAAACCTAACCATTTTATTTATTAGCATCAAAAATATAGATTCGTCACTGATTTGGTTATAAGAAAATCATTTAATATTGCATGCACTACTTCCTTTTTGTTTGTTTGGTCAATTCGGGCGATAATAAATGCAACGGTGAGTGTACGTAAAATTCATATTATTATTGCACAGGATATAATAATGATGTAACGTTATATATAAGATATTATAAACATATAACATCGTATATATAAAATTATTTACGAAGAATTGAAACTTTGTTTTCAATATTCACATTTATTCGTCAGGTAAACGTCGAAAGTTAACGTCAATTAATATCGTGGTCTAACAGATAGCGCTAGAACCTACGAGATTTTGTATTGCGTGAAAGTAGAGAGACGTAATGAAACAATATTTCCTCGATTAGGCATGACCGAGTGACGAGTCAGGAATTAAAAATTTGCGAATTTGGGAATCTGGGGATTTTAAAGACGTGGAAATTTTGAAAATTTCAAAGCCATCAAACGTGACTGTAAACCTAGAGGTCTGTCATGGTTTATCACTCGTTCATGTCTGTTCCGGATAAAATGATTAAAAATTGTATCTACGAACGCTATTATTTCCAATAACTATACGACGATATCAATTAGTTATTTTCCTCTTATAAAAACAATTCCCATCTTTCAATTGACAATGCAAATAAACATTTACCAATTGACAATCCTGTCTAACGCATTACATACAAAATGTCATTCTTCTTATTTAAAATGTGAAAAGTTTCGTATCGCATTCTACCTGGGAAGAGGTAAACAAGAAAATGTATACTAAAAACATCGGAAATAATATAATTGCCGCCAACGAGTGATCCACAGGACCACTATAAGAAGAGGGATAAAAATAAAATAAAAAATCCAGTGGAAAGAAGGAGTGTAGGGAGAAAGGGGAATTGCTTGGTCCTACGTGAAAAGTCAATAAATTATTACAACGTATATCGCGATACTGATCAACCGCAAGATAAATATCGCGGATGAAAATTCTGGAACAAATAGATATACACGTGATGAAACTGTTTCTCGTATTTCTTTTCCTTTTTTCGCTTTTCTCCCTTTTTTTCCGTTTTAGTATGGCATACGCGTGTCTCCGAGTCAGAGACGAAAAATCATGTACGTATATAAACTTGTGTACGCACGTGTTTCTTTCAAGAATCGGAAAGAGAAATGTTCCTCCTGCGTGCGCGCGCGGGAAATTTAAACGTCTTACTTTTCTCATGGCAAATAGAATCTCTTTCGACCAGCAGAAGAAGCCTTTCTCCTTAAGATATTGTATAAGGTGTTTAACTTAATTTACGGTGGAAGAAGGGAGCGACATTAAGAATCCGTTGTGCTTTGCTGTTTGCTTACGGCATCGATGAATCTCTTCTTGATAGATAAACCGCAATTATTTTTTTCAGCCTCGGCGGAGGATCGAGCGATCGGTTGTAAAAAGAAAAAAAAGTTGTTGGTCGCTTATTGTGCTTAAAATGGCACGTGGAGAGTTTTTTTATTTTGCTAAGTGCATGGCAATCGATACAATCGCGCTCAATGAGGATACTTCCGCTTCGAGGCTTTCGTTTAACATGCAAAACATGCAAATGTCTAACTTACAAATCAGGGTTTCGACGTTATTAATTATCCCATTATCAATTATTATTTTTAACCAAGGACAGGACTGTTAAATAATTTTTAATTAAATTAAAAGTATCAGTACTTGAAACTCTGATTACAAAGGAGAAACATAAACTTTTCGCTGATCTTCAATTGAAATTACAGCTAGAATGAATATGTGTTTGAACATTTAATCTTCTTTATGGTTTTTGGAAGTTTCAGAATGTACCTGTTTCTTCCTGTTTAAGTTACATACGGATTATCAATAAATTAGAATCACTGTATCAATGTGATAATATACGGTTTCAAGGTTGATCTTTAACAGGCGTAAAAGATTTATTTCAATTGCGCTGTTTGGAAATAAATCATTTTCACGAACAGAAAAACGAAGGAGAAACGTTTGATAGCGAATCGGCTTAACTCGACTAAATATCGATATGTAACATCCGACGATGATTACGCTACGATCAATACGATTTAAAGTATAATTTAAAACTAATTATCGACTTAGTATGTTTCAGATTTTCTTTCTAACAAACTAGTGCAGCAGAATTGTGTTTGCCTTTACCAGAAACGCAAACGTTACGATCTCTTATCGCATATGTATTAAATCCACAATTCAATTACTCTACATCGTACTTTATGTATACCAATGAGCTTTTAAAAAATTAAGAACCTTAAATTACAATTTTACCTAATTAGTTTTTCCATCCAGAGTCATTGTTATCTAAGACAAATTCTGTCTTCTAATTTTAGATACTACATTAGTTTCCTCGAATAAATTACGTAAACATATTCTAAAAAAAGAAACAAATATTACAAAATACAATATAAGCTGACACAAAATAAAACGTACACAATGAAGATCCTTCAAAATGCTGATCGGCGAGGAGAGAAGCCAAATGGGATGAAATGCCTCATGGTCAAAGTATTAAAAACGTTTCTACGAATCACGAAAGAGAAGAAGAAACGAAGAAGCAGGGAAAAGAGGAAACGCCGATAAACGAGAGGTCGCGGTTCACAGGATTATTCGCGTCGAAGAGAAATCACGGATCCTTCTTCCTTTCCCTCCTTCCACCGAGGCAGAATGATTAACGATATACCAGCAGCGTTTATCGCCCACGAATTTTCGCGCTCTCAGTTCTGTACAGGGGGTAGGGGGGGAGAGGCGTATACGTACGCTCGAGTACATATACGCTTTAAATACACACGCTGTAAATGCATCTGGAATTGGCCCGATCATGCCGACGATTCAATGGGGCGATTCATCAGCCATCGTCCTTATCTATTCTATTCTATCACACGATAGAACATAAAATATAAAAATGATCCGACTATACAAACTAAACACACATTTATAAGCGAAGGGTCTATTCTCGGAGACGAGATAGTTCACTGTCCTAGCCGCGAGCAGAAAAATATCATGGAGTTAATAGTCCACGTTATTAATAGACTACAAAAGAAAAAGTAAATTGCGATTTAAAGTTCGGTAATTAAACGAGAATTTGGAACTGAAAGGATCGAACGCGCGATCGAAGGATCAGAAAAAGATTAAAGGACGGCGCTGCCCCGTATGAAAGAAGTCTCCCAGTGGTCAGTGCACGAAGTGTTTGACAGGACCCCTCGCGGGAGATTCTGGATGTGTCATATCGTCGGTGTCGGCGCTTAATTCGGTCGAAGGACATCGTCTTTCTCGGCGTAGTATCGTGGGACAAAACTGGGCGGTATCAAAGCCTGATAAGCTTTGTCGCCTCAAGCGTAGAACTCTCGATTATGATGCGGCGCCCCGGGCTTAGGGAACGCCTGAGCAGCTGGCGATCTTCTCGGCTCGTCCAGGGCATACGAGCCCTCGTCCTTCTTGCGCATTCTGTACACGATGAACATCACCACCAGGATCGCGCAGAGCAGACCAACTACTGCGCCACCGATCACCGCTGCAAACAGAGAACTCCAATTAGTTCGATTCTCAAAGTTTTTTACACGATTAATTATCAATTCATATCGATACTATTCGAAGGTTTTCATCTCACGAAACTACATCGTATCCATATTCCCAGCTATGGTAATTATTATTTTTTTTGCGCGATGTACATAATTGCTATGCAACAGCTAATTTCAAATCTGAAGCGCATCCTAAATAACTACACGAGTTACGAGGGGTCTCCGTTAATTCAGCATGTTAAGCTATTCAGCGAATTAATTATGCAGCATGTTTATCGTGGATTGGTTAACTGAATTGAAATTTTGAACGAAGTTTCAGAACGTTATAAATAAATCCTGTTTCGTAGAATGTTAATACAGGATTTGCCTCTATGCCTCAAGTCTAACGGAATGGGTAAATAAGTAATGGCAATCCGCTTGTTAAATTTGAACTATGCAACCGTGAAATTCTGGCTTTTCGAGGAATTGCATTCCACGAGTATTAGGATGATTACATTTTACAGAATGAAAATTTTGTTTACAGAAATAAAACTCTCGATGCGTGTAATAACGTTTACACAAGTATAAATGAAAATTCTGTTTGCATCCAAATAAAACTTGGGCTACCCAAATAAGACCTGGTACGTTTAAATTTCATGCTTATACCTTCCGCTGTAATGAATGCAACGCAATTAGAATGATGGAAATGAAAGAAAGCTACGAAGACATTACCTGCTAGTACACCTGGCTGAGCGAAGAAAGAGCTGGCACGGTCCTCGTGTTTCGGGTTCATGATGTAAACGTCGTGAATGTCGTCCGAGTTCTCCGAGTGGTCGTCCCCGACATCTAAGGGCTCGTTTACATCGACCTCGTTGTCGGGTCGGTTTACAGTCTCGACGTTCGTCTGCAATGGGATACGCTTTAATCAGTTTAATCCATTTAATCTGACCATCGGGAGGAACATGTTTTCAAACAAATCTAATAAAACCGACTTAACGTCCACGCATTTTGGCGGACCTGCTGGGTTTCCCTCCGACGGTGTTTCTTTCGCTGTTAAAGATCAATGAACCGCAGTGCAAAGTGAACTTTGAGGACATGCACGTGTTTAGTATTTTTTTAAATTTAATGGCTACGTCTATTAGTACTTGTACTAATAAAAATAAGTTCTCGCTTTCAAAGCCATCTCTGCGGAGATTAACAAATGGCTTCTCTGTGAGATGCGAAACAAGGGGAAATGTCTTTTGCGAATAGATGAAATGTTAATCAGGTTCACCTGTTCTTTAGTTTTAACACTTGGCTCGTCGACAAAGTATGGTGCTTTAGGTTCTGTTGGCTTGTTGGGTGTCGATTCTATCCTATTGTTGTTGTTAAAATCTGCAATAAGAATAAGAACCAGTAATATTCTCACGGAGAGAAATGTGGGAAGATAAATATTACACTTCGTGTAGTAGTAGTGTGACTATTTGCTCGTAAAAATGGAAAGGAAATATTGTTTTACCGTGATCGTCATCACCGTCTTCGTCGTCAGGACCAAGGCCACTTCCTGATGATTCAAGATCGTCACGACCTTCGCTACCACCTCGTCCAGAACCTTCCAGAGGATCCTGCTGATCGTCTAGGTAGAGATCGTCCGAGAAGGAGTTGTACGTCGAACTGCCTCCCGCTGTTCTCTCTTTCTCGTTTTGATCCTTCTGTAAAAAAAGAAAAATTCTTCATAAATTTTTAGGATCGCACAGATATCTTATTGTCAGAAGTGTTAATGGAATTCAACTGCGTAACAATATGAAGACTCCACTGCTAGTGGAAAACGGCAATAGAAAAAGATATACAAGCTTGTGTACTGAAACTGTATAAATAGTATCGCTTTGTCTTGGTTTTCTGGACTTCTTTCTGTGACCGTTGTCCCCTAGAATAGAATCCATTCCCATGTGTTTTGCTATCGAATTACATCACGCAACGATGCCACCGTGAAAACAGCGTTGTTTCTCTTCTTGCGGTTCCCTTAATGCAGTGTCGCGTTCAACAAGACGGAACACTAAAAAGCCAACCGACTTGTTTTGTATGATCAAATAAATTAAGTAACTACGGAAACTCGTGGTCGTAACAAAAATGAAAGGAAATACTGCGCTTGTAATATTAAGAAGGTGTAATTACGGTAAAAGAAATATAAGGGAGTATAGAATTAAATGATTAACAGCGGTAAGCCTGCAGAACACGTCAAGGAAACTTCAGCGAACGACTTCCGGTTAGTCAACGCTCCTGGAATGCGGAGTGACGTTAAACGAACTCCAGAATAATCAATGGGTGTTTTATCGTGATTAGTCTTCGATCAGAAAAAATGTTATCCTGTTTCAACAATGCTTCATTGTAATCTGAATATATATATTTTACATAATTATACTGACGTTATTACGAATCAGACAATGCGTTAGTAGTTCTTTTCAAATTTTACAAAATGGCGTAGCACGATATACGCTCTCCTTTCTTTATAGTTAAAATCATTTAATTTGGAAAACTGTGCAAGCGCGATTGCACGAAACAATCGAAAACACAGGGTGAAACTGTGCAATTAAGGGTTGCTGAATACCGTTAACGAGGATATCAATTACTGCAACTTCTCGAAACCGACTCCGAGGGCTTTTGTCTTTGCGAACAATTCCAATTTTCCGTTCGTGATCTTTTCACGATGCTCCTTTAATTAAACCAGCCGGTAGTTCGGGCTTCGGGACACAATTGGCACAAACTGGTTTACTATCAATGAAATAAAAAGAACGTAGAAAAATTAAATTTCTTCGTAGATTTACTATCACCAGAAATTAGACACACCTACATGTGCAAGTTTCTTTCGAGTTCGCAGTTGTTATAGAGGGTGCGTTTGCTGAAATATTTCAATGAGAAATTTTCATAAAAATATCAAATGAAAATCCTTCAAAGAAGCCAGCCTGGGGTGGAACCCCAGACAAGAATAACAATTAGATTCTTATTTTCTACGTCCTCAGTGGATATAATTAAATATTACAATTATAAAAAAGTGCCTCAATTCGATAAATGATTACCGTTTAAATTTTAGCAAGTGTTTAATGTCTCTGGCGTTCAATGTCTGACGTTCAATGTCTCTGACGTTCAATGTCTGAGGACTTACCGAATGTTCCAGGAGAACCTCGAAGCCAGGAACTAACCTTATGTGGCGAATAGAATGAAACGATACGAGTGACCGTGTTAAAAAAATATCGGCACCGCAATCACAAGGTTACAAGAGCAACGGCCGATGCGCCGGGTGCACGCGATCGTGCGTACGGATATATCAGGGCGAGTGTCTCTCGCAGCTGATCGATAACACGAAATTCGTTCTCCCGGGTCAGCTACTCACCACGTTCCTAACGATTCTGTTCTACACGTCTTTATCGTCACGCGTTTTCGGCTTATTACCGCGCAGCTCGTGTCCGCACGGCACGCAACGTCTCCGCTGCTTCACATGTATCCGCTTTCTACCAGATTTTTTATTTTTCGTTGCCATCTGCGGAAGAAACGCAAGAATTGCGCGGGCGCGCGATGTTATCGACCTCTTTCGCGCATTCTGCCGCATTATACGCTTTTTTTCTCCTTCGTCTGGCTTATTATCGTCGTCGGAAAAGCGAACAATACGTCTACATGCAAAATAGCCAGAGGCTAAGGTCAAGGCTTCCGAGATCTTGGAAAATCAAAGTGTCCCGCCTTTTTCCCAACAATTTCACCAGCTCGCGTAATTCGGTTTGCAATGAAAATCAGCATCGAGCGAAGTAATATCAACGAAGAAAATTACTTACGACTGTGCGGGTGAAGGATGTCCGTGATTTTAACGTTGAAAAGTGGAATATTTTGGAAGATAAGACGCGATACGCTTTTCAGGCAAGTGGTGACTGCACTGACGTAGTACGAGGTCGAGCCTGCAGACGGCACTGTTCCAGGGATACTCTATATAGCTAGTATATAGATATAAAATGGGAGGATCTGGCCAGGACCGTAGCACCGAATAATCTGGATATATTTAAATTTTTTCGGTAATGATAATCGATAACCTGGGTACTTTCAGACCGGTGATGGACACATAAAACGCGCGGTGTATCGGTTACGGATATTGATTCGGAATTATCTGCTTTTTCATGCAACACTTGCAATAAAAATATTCTAATTACATTCTGTTATTTACACGAAGATTTTTAGACGTATGATAAGGCGATTTTGAGCTACGACACGATTCATAGATAGTACCATTTCATATCATTTATAGTATGTACAAGGATGTCACACACATGTTACAACTAGCGATAAATTTTTTCCCGGATCAGTTTTTATGTAAAAGTTTTTACGTCTGCAAAAGTATCTCGCACCAGATGTAAGTATTATCTGCGAATTTTTGGCACGTGCGCATAAAAAGGTCCAGCACTGTGCATATAGTTGTAGGATATTGAAAATCCAGCTACTTAACCAGACCATGTCGGAACAGATACACGTGTCTCGTTCCCAGAACGAGAGTTGCGTGCCTGAATAGGATCAGAGCCTTTCATATTGGAGCCGAATCCGTGGATTTGTATTCGGTATTCTTGCGAATCGGTTCATACGCTGCTCGACGTCAGTCACGTTGCTGCATTTTCTCATTGTTTGGTTTGTCGAGTGGAAAACGGCAGGTGCCTCGGAAATGGTAACGATACATTTTCTGACAGTATTTTGGCGACTAAAGGAAAAAATACGAGGGTGTTCGAAGACGATCACGTTCGAAGCTTGAAAAACGGAAAACCACGAAGTTTCGTAACAAAAGGATAATTAAACTCGGTCGAGTACCTATAGAACGAGTTCAGCCGGAGAAAGGAGAGCTTGCTCGTACTTGCGGACGAATGTCTGGCCGTGCTCTTCCAGGTGAACTTCCTGGACGAAATTTCAACCGATTAGATTTCGTTCGACCCTTCGTGCAAGAGATCGATTCTCCCGTCTCCGTGGGGAGGGCCAGAAACGGTTCATTAACTGCGTAACAGAGCAAATACAGACGGCGAGAATTGGGTAGAAACGACGGTAAAAGAAAATAGAGACAAACATTAGTTCACGGCAATGGATTAGTATCTAAATTTCGTACCCTGATGAATCACCCTTATATTGCACTGCAATCTTTGTTTTCAAGGTTACTCACCGAACAAACTTTCTGGAAAATTTGATTATTCATACTAATTGTTCTGGTTCGAGATTAGATTGTCCAAAGTTTAAGAAATGAGGTAGGCATGGGTTAGTCACTCCCATCGGGACACTCCGATATTATCGACGTATTAAACCTTCATAATACTAGTAGTGTGTATCCGTAATCGACCATAACGATCTACACAAACGTAATACTGTACCTTCATTCTAATATCGTCTGAGAAAAATTCTGAAGCACTCATCATAGTATTAATACAAACTATATATATAAAATGGAATTGAAATAGTTTGCCCTCCTCTAACGTTTCATTTTTGTCAGATATACGATATTAAAATGAAGGTATCCATATTATATTACCTTCGTAACGTAATATGTTTACAACGCTACATTTTACGTAATTTTTATTTCCTGCAATTCGAAAAATACCTCCAGTTAGAAACCGACTCATCTATGATCAATTTATAGTTGATAAATATCGATTTACTCTCGTTTCATGACTTTTGGCATAATCTACGACACTGTTCGATTTAGCTAACGATGTATTGCTTTTTCTACCGACCGAGTTAAAACAATTCGGTTCATCACCCTTGAGAGAGAGTTAGCTAACCTCTGATAGTAACCGGGTTCAATGTTTTCCCATGACATTAAAATTGCTTGAACGGATCGGCCGACTCAATTAACGACGAGAGCTTGTCTCCTGTTCCTTTTTTTAATCGACGTTTGCTTTAGCAATTCAAATCCAGCTTCCGGTGAGAAAATGGTCGAAACACGCGATAGGGACGCATAGATTATCGTTGCAACGCTACATGTCGGTAAAGTAAGGTGTCAAATGCACAATGCGCGGCAGCGTTCGGTTGTAACCGTGGATAAAGACACCATCATTTCCATTTCATGGAATTAGCCCGTTCAGCGTGAAATACAATTTGTGTCGGTTAATTTCGAGCCGCTTTGAACTGAAGCCACAACGTTTAACAACGGCGAGAGTTTGCTGGGTGTTACTTATTAAAATTGCTTTTGTGTACGCTAAAGCACGAGCGATCATAACGAATTCGTTGTAATTGTAACAAACGAGGGTGACAGTGACAGGCCCGATGAAAACAATAGCCTGAACGACGTTAATGGAAATTTAGTCGTCTTTAATAAGTTGTCGTTACGCAGCTAATAATTATCGTAACCATGATTCATATCGTTTAAATATCCGCGGCTTTCAACTAGGATCGCGCGTTTAAAATTTCACGGATGGAAAAGTGTTACGAAAAAGCTGGAAATATTTTAATTACTACGTTTAATTTGATTATGTCATTACATCCAATTCACGAGACATTCTTGCGACACGACCGCGGAATATTTATCCAGCCGACAAAAAGCGTGCATTGTTCGCGCAAACCACTTTTGCGATTCGCGCTCATGAAAATCGGATGCAACCGCGTAACCTTTGTCGCTGGACGTTCGTCAACATCAAAGGACACCGCAGGAATAATTCAGACTAACGAAAAGAGACGGAAAAATGGACAGGGTAAT